ATCAATGGACTGCCAAAGGATACTTAGGAGTTGAGCATCAATCTTTTCCTAGTCAGATGCCTGATCCTTGGGAGACTTAGTTGTGAGATGTTGACCGTATCCCTGACCAGTAAACCAGATCTTAACTGAGGTAGACCAGGTCTTGTAAGTAACAGCTCCGGTCAGTTTGATCGTTGTAATGAAGGGGGTAGTACTGGTAATGTTTTTGGATATACTACCTAAGCCTTCCATCTCAAAAATATAAAAAAAAATGACCAGATAAAAGCAAAGAACTGCAAACTCACAAGAAATCACGCAAAAAATAAATAATCAGAATGACCAAACGTACGGAACAGTGCCGGAAAGAGACCAACGGCTATGGAACAAAATGCTTTTGTCCGATATCTTCTCAACGGAAGAGACCCACGACAGAAGGACCACAGATCTGGAAAGGTGAGAGAAGGGCGAGTCTGTCTGTGATGGTTTCACCGGAACAGTGCTCACGCGCCGGTGAGAGGCGGCGCGTGAGGACCACGCGCAGAGAAGCTCAGCCGCGCGTGAGGGCGCGTGACTTGGCCGCCGGTGATGTGCCTTCGGCAGAGTTGGTCGACGGGGGAAGAGGGTTCTGATCGTGTTCTAACCGAGCTGAAAACTTGCCGAAAAAGTGCTCCGGCGGCCTGAACAGTGGCTAACGGTGGCGGACGGTGGTTCCGCTGACCGTCGGAGGTGCTGACGCGTTCGGAAATTGCTTGGAAGGGACTTACAGTCCTTGATGTCTTGCCGGAAGGACGCACGACAAAGAAAAGATGACTCCTAAGCAGTGGGCTTAGGTTTTAAGGCGAAAACAAAGTTTCTGAGCGGAAGCGAGGGTCCCCAAAACGAAAGAGCTCAGGTACCAACTTGAATATAAAATAATATGTTGTGTATTGATTTAATTCAGAGAGTTACAATATATAGAGACTCTAATGGGCTTATAGGAAAGGCCCACACCTAATACAATCAGAAGAATTACAGACTAATCATATCTAATCATATCTAACAGCTATAATCAAGGCCGAAGATTTGAGTAAAACCCTTTGCAACTAGGCGTGCCTTGAGATGATCAACATGGCCATCAGGTCCAACTTTCACAGTAAAAACCCAACGACAACCAACTATAGACTTTTCTGGAGGAGCAGAAACAAGGTCCCAAGTGCCATTGGAATGAAGTGCAGTCATATCATCAAGCATCGCTTGGCGCCACCCGGGATGGGAAAGTGCTTCACCTATGGTCTTAGGAATAGAAACAGAAGAAAGACTAGAAACAATGGTGAAATGAGGAGGAGAAAAACGGTCATAGCTCAAAAAGGTATAAAGAGGATAAGGGTTACGAGTAGTACGTGTGCCTTTTCTTTGAGCAATGGGAAGAGCCTCTGGTGAAGGAGCCGAAGGGGAAGAATCAACTGGAGTGGGCGATAAGTCAGCAAGAGTCGAGTCGACAGGAGGCACAGTTTTGCAACGCTGATAGGTGAGAAGAGGACGGTCTTCAGGTATGGAAGCAATAGGTTGCTCATCTGGAATAGAAGTACCTGCAGCTGGCAAAGACAAGTCAAGAAAAAGAACAGGAAGAACATGATCAACCTGTGACAATTGAGATGGGATAGAATTAAAGGGTTGTTGATCAAGAAAAGTGACATCAGCGGAAACAAAGTAACGCTTAAGATCGGGAGAATAACGATAACCCTTTCGAAGACGAGAATAACCAAGAAAAATACATTTAAAGGCTTTGGATGTTAACTTGTCTTTACCAGGAGTGAGATCATGAACAAAACAGGTACAACCAAAGACATGTGAGGATAGAGGGGAACATCTGGAAGCAACAAGTTATAAGGAATGTCATTATTAAGCACAGATGAAGGCATACGGTTGATGAGAAAACAAGAGGCAAGGACTGCATCGGCCCAGAAGTGAAGAAGAACATGCATGTGAATAAGAAGAGTTCGTGCAGTCTCAATGAGATGTCTATGTTTACATTCAGCTACTCCATTTTGTTGTGGAGTGTGAGGACAAGTAATTTGGTGTAAAGTACCCTGTGTGGCTAAGAAATTAGAAAAGTCAACAGAAACATATTCCTTAGCATTGTCACTACGTAAAATACGAATAAAAGCACCAAATTGAGTTTGAATTTCAGCAGAAAATTTTTGATAAATAGAAAATAACTCAGAACGGTTTTTCATTAAATAAATCCAAGTACAACGTGAAAAATAATCAATAAAGGTAACAAAATATCGAAACCCTAAAACAGACACTACGACTTGGATCCCAAATATCTGAATGAATAATTGAAAAGGGAGCATCAGCTCGTTTATTGACTCGATTGGCAAAGGAGGAGCGTATGTGCTTCCCTTGCTGACAGGACTGACAATCTAAAGTCTGAAGACCAGATAAAAGAGGAACCATCTTTTGCAATTTTGAAAGACTAGGATGATCGAGGCGACTGTGAATGAGTTGTGGAGATTCTATGAGAGAGCAAGCAACTGAAGGACTCGGCACAACCAGGTAGAACAGACCCCGTGACTCACGGCCCACTCTAATTGTCTTCTCCGTACCCGGATCCTGCACAGAAACAAAATGGTTTGAGAAGGTAACAAAACAATTAAGAGAGTTGATCAACTTACTAACAGAGATTAAGTTATATGGGATATCAGGAATGTAATAGACTGATGTCAAGGTCAATGAGGAGGTTGGACAAATTTGTCCAATCCCATGAACAGGGGCTTTAGTGCCATCAGCAAGAGTAAAAGAGGGTAAATTGTCAGAATATGTAAGAGGTGAAAAGAGTTCCTTATTACCACAGAGGTGATCAGTAGCACCTGAGTCAAATATCCAAGGACCAAGTGATGCAGAATGAGAAACACAAGCAACAGGATTACCAGTTTCTGAAGTAGAGGCTTGAGACTGAGGAGAGGCCTTCCTGAGAAGGGTCTGGAGTGCTGCATAGTCTTCAGAGGGGAGAGAGACTGTACCATTTGAAGCAGTATCCGATTGAGCTATATTAGCAGCATGAGAAGGTTGCAGGTGAGGATACTTTGTGTAGCAACGTTCCTCATAATGACCAAGTTGCTGACACTAATGACAACGAGGTCGCTGGCCACGTCCTCCCTGGCTTCTACCACGTCCACGTCCACCTCCAATGTACCCGCGAAAGTCAGTACGGGAAACTAGAGCAGTGGAATCAACAACAGCAGACGATGCAGGAGCAGATTTCTTATTAAGATTCAGAAGACGCTGATACGTCATTGATAGATCAGGATCCCCACTAGTCAAGATAGTATCCCGGACATTATCATATTCTTCGGGGAGACCAGAAAGTGTGACAACCATAAAGAGACGTTCCACCTGTTTCCGATATGCAGAAGCATCAGTAGGGTAAGGCAACATATCCAAATATGCCTGCATCAAAGATCGACTTTTGCCAACATATGTCTCCATCTGAGTGTCAAATGATTTGCACAGATCCATAAACTGAGACATGATGGAATAGAGCTGCTGAACATCATTAGTGTAGAGGTGTTTTGCTTCCTCCCACACTTCAGTGCAAGTTTGAAAAGAATAGAAGATGTCCAAGACGACTGGATCAATAGACTGCCAAAGGATACTGAGAAGTTGGTTGTCAATCCTTTCCCAATCAGATTTTTCCTCCTTAGGAATATCAGTAGATTTAGTCGTGAGATGGTTCCCATGTCCCTGTCCAAAGAACCAAACTCGAACAGAGGTGGCCTAGTTCTTGTAATTAACAGAACCCTTCAACTTTGAAGAGGTAATGAGCCCAACATTGGTGGAGATGATATTAGGAGAACTTTTGACAAGACGACAGGGAGAATTGACCTCCTAATGAACAGGAGGAGTTGCTGCCATTATATTAAATCACAAGGGTATAAACCGGGTAAATAGGAACGAACCTGATCACAAATCAAGAAGAGGCGCGCACAAAAAGTGAGACCCACAAAGATCCAATCACAGATCTGAAAAGGGGAGGAGAGGACGAGCTTTTCTGTCCAAAAACGGCCGAAAAATTCCACCATAACAGTGCATACGCGCCGGAAGAAGGTGGCGTGTGAGCACCACGTGCAGAGGAGAAAAACGGCGCGTGACGGCTGCGATGGTGGTTGGACTTCCACAGACTTGGTCGCCGGGAGGAGAGGCTCTTGATCGCGGGTGGTTGGGTTCGAAAACTCACCGGAAAACTTCTCTGGCGGCCTGAACAGTGCTGGACGGCGGTTCTGGTGGCTGTCGGAGGTGCTGACGCGTTCGGAAATTATTCTAAGGGAGCTTACAACCCTGTATGGCTTGCCGGAAGGACGCACGGCAAAGAAAAGAGGATTCCTAAGCAGTGGGCTTAGGTTTTAAAGCGAGAACGAAGTTTTAAGCGAAAGCGAGGGTCCCCAGAACAAAAGAGCTCTAGTACCAACTTGAATATAAAATAACGTGTTGTATATTAATCTAATACAAAGAATTACAATATATAGAGACCCTAATGGGCTTAAGTGAGAAGCCCAGATCTAATCCAAGAAGAATATTTACAGATAAAAAGTAATCTAATCATATCTATTCTAACAATGCCCAACACAGTTAATCATGTACTGCATAAAAACAAATGTATGAAAATAAAGAGTTTGGTTAATTGCAACATTATATTACTCCCATAAAAACAAATTATCTTGAGAGATGTTTCTAATTAAGTCCAACATGGAATCTTAAACCTTATCATGTTGATTTTGCTTCAAAGTTCAATTGGATAGTGGGAATTACTTATCGAAGTTGTGATTTAGTGCAATTTTTTAGTTTATAGAAAACATGTTCCTTATATTAAACTGATCCTTGTTATTGAAGAAATCGAAATATCACAAAAATGATTGTAATAATAAGATTTTGAATTTCAATTGTAAGTTTGGGAAAATAGAGTTAAATTTTCAACGTGCGACAATTATAAACCCTGGTACTCAATCTGTGACTGCATACTCATCTGTGTCATTTCATAGGTCAATGCCAGACTTCGCCTTCCGGCTGTCCTGAATAAATTTCTTCAGCCTATAGTAGTATCTGCTGTGGAGTTTTTCCCTCAATGGAGATCACTTACTGGACCACCTTTAAAGGTTCAAGAAGTGGTATGCATTCTGAATTATGTACACCTAACATGCTATTAGGTGAAGTTTGTATATTTGCCAATTAGGCTGTGTTAATTTCAGTCAAGTTAAATTCAACCTTGCACATATCTTTCGCTGATTGACTGTCTTGTTTCTGATCATTGCAGTCATAGGTTCATTTTGTTTATTTTGCAGGTTAGAGGTGTTAGACCACTTCAACTGCTTGAATTGGCAAACTTTTTCAATAGTTACTCTTTGACCATTTGCCCAGGGCTTGTATGATATTGAAGTCCCACTTTTTTGCTTTTGTTCATTTTCCTGTTAATTCGTTAACACCTATATTTATTTATAATTTTTTTCTGCTTTCTATCTGCCTTAGGACCCCAATCCAAACAATCTTGTTGCAAGTACAACATTCTATTCAGAAAGTACAAAGGCCATGCTCTGTTTGGTAAGTATATATGTTGAACAGCATATCTCATTGCAGTTCCTGCTAAAGAGTATAATCTAGAATTCTTGAAGTAATCTTTTAAACGAAAATGAGGGGAAATGAAAGAAGCTATTTTCGCCTGCTCCAACTTCAGGATCATAAATGATTATTTTCTTTAACTGTCAGTTTTGGTAAGTACCTACGTGCAGACAGGGATGGAGTGCTGTGATGTTGATTGATTGTCAACACTAAACTGTGATTAAACTCTGGTTTTATTACATTTGCCATGCATTCGTTATTGAACTTATTAAATTATTCTGCATTTCTAAAATCATGGAAATAATTTGAGATAGTTTCTTTAACATTTTATTTAAATGATGTTCAGGTAAGAATTGAAACTGATCCAGCAGACAGAACCCAGCTGCGAATGACAGTTGCTTCAGGGGACCCATCACTAACATTTGAGTATGTTTTAGTTTTTAAGTTACAGGAAGCTATCGATAGATTCTACAGCTTTTGTACATATTCTGATTTTGGTTTTGCAGGTTGAAGGAATTCATCAAGGAACAACTAGTCAACATCCCCACAGCAACCCATATACCTACTCAAGAACCTCCAACACCACCAATAGCTCAACAAGCCAATGCACACGAAGCATTGACGGACCCTGGGGCGATGCTGGCTGCTCTTCTGTGACAATATAAAGGCGACAATTCATGAGGATGTTCATTACACTTGTAAACCTGAATTACACAGCCCCTTTCCTCAAGCTAGTGGGGTGGATAAAAAAGCCATGATGGAAGGGCTGGCGGAATCGAGGCTGACTTAGTTTGTTAGTAGCTGAGTGTTTGATATTTCTGGGTTGATCGGCATTTTTTTAGGTTCTTTCAGCATAAAGTGGTTGTTCCTTAAAAGCGATTTTATTATCATATTTGGGCAAGGGTTTTTTTTTCATATATTTTTTACCCTTTCCTGTTTTCACTGGATTGCTTGTGGTGCACATAAATTTTATAGCATGTAAAATCTTGCATAGGAAAGAACAAATTTTATCGGTTTGAAATATTTATACCCTAAAATTATATCTTGGGGAGTATATATATTTTTGCTTCAAAATGCTTTGGATTCAGTGTTATGATGTCTGAAAATTCAATCCATTTGACACGAGATTATAATGTGCCATGCTGGCTTTATGCGATTTGGCAGGAGACTTAATGAACCGCAAACAAACATCCAAAATTTAAATCATAGAATATGTTGTGATTAAAGTGAAGCAAATTATTTCGAAAAATGATTTATATCGTTAAAAAAAAAGTAAAATACAAACAAACACAAGTAACCACCAGTGCGAATCCGTTGGCATGTTCAATTCAGCGGTACGAGTTATACAATTAGCAGCTATAAATGCTTTCATTACTAAGGTCTGGTTCGGGTGCGAACTGTGAGCTACTAACCTAAAACATTAACGCAAGCCTTGTTCGCTAGATGGAGTATATGACAAAAATCATTTAATAACATCTGATAATATTGAGAATAGCACTGATCCTAAAGCGCCTTCGCTACGAGTAATATGAATGGAGCAGTATAGAAGCTTCTTTTTCAATTGAGTGAAGCTTCTTAATTTTGACGGAACTCAACAAAAAAAATGATAATTGTAATCTATACAAATAATTCTGTCAGATAAGCATCATAAAAAATACCTGCTTATCTCATATCAGCATATTTCTGTGAATTGTGAAATGGGAAAAACAATCCCATACTTGACTAGGTGATAAAATCAGCCGATATCCCATGATTCCAGAGAATCAACCAATCCAACAACTGCAAGTTGACAAACAATCACACCATATCACTCGATTTGGAAAAACTGGGTCCACTAGGTACCGAGGAAGCAGCAATCATTTATGTGAACCGTAAGCAGTAAACCATGACAACACTGGCAGAAGCCAATTAACCTCTGAAGGTGCACAACATAAATTTGACCCCAAGCTCCACAGTTATGAATTCAACTCGTCCATGGTGAGCTACCTGAAACCAATTATGCACCCTAATTGACCCAGCTCGCGTGATTATTATTGTAAAATTACTTCTCAAAGACTTGCACCGCCTACGCCCAAGAGAGCTTCCAAGATTCAACAGCAAAATAGCTCAACAGGATGACCAGTCAATCAATCAACTATTGCCATTCACGGCAATTCCCACACCTCCAACTTCCAAGCCTGGATGGTGATTCAACCCAGGGTGAACACTGGCTATGAATCAAAATCCCACAAATCTCACAACAGAGATCAGGGGCTGGTTCCATTTGAGAACACTTCCAACAACTATAAACACTGTCTTGTAAGGAAATTGCAGAATCTGATTTATCAACTAAACTAAAACCCCCATATTCTTCAGGAACAAGGGTAGAAGAATTTTCCAAATATCCTGACAAGTCCCCAGACACATCAACTTCCTCAAACTGGCCACCATCACCTGGGTGCAGCAATTCCGTTACAGAGAAGTAGGTATGGGGTTCAAACTCCGTGTATTCACAATTTAAACTTTCAGAGTCAATCAGCAGATCATTGTCAAAGCGCACAGCAGAGTCATATTCTAAAGGTGATAACACCTCTGTAGATTTGGACAGATTACCTGCTTCATTGTGTGTTGAGAATTCAGCATGTGAAGGTTTACCTCCAAAAGAACCATCATCATCCCCCTCAACCTTAACATGCCTTCTCACTGGTAGTTTCTGAGGCACTGGCCCAGAGACAGTGTTCCACTCAACATCTACATCTAACTTGGGTTCTGTAATCAGCTCAACACTTGAAAGAGAGAAAAGCAGAGGATCATCCTCTACAGGAAAGACAGGAGTAGCAGCTTCACACTCTTTAACATCAGAAAATGTTCCGGAATCAGAATCTGCTCCAGAATGCTCTTTCTTTGAAGCCCTTGTGTGTGATTTCTTGCCCTCCTGAGTCTTAAGCTTCAAATCAGAGTAAGGACACACAGGTGATTTTATCCTGCGACACTTGCAACATTTGAAGCCCAACACACAAAAAATTTTGGATTCTTCAAGCTCAACAGCTTCAGCATGATACCAATCTGTGAAAGCCAAACACAGAGACCAGATAAATAAGTATAAGCACTTTGATACTTTATCAATTATTTATTACAGAAAAAACTTACGTTGGCATGTCTCACAGCGAATATACATCAAATCAGATCTATATGGCTGACGGCACAAGTGACAAACAGGTTCCAATTGAGGCATGCCTGAACCTCCCTTTAAAAGTATGTTTTTGAGCCTGAAATCAATGTCTGTACTTTCATTATTTTTCTTTTTCCATATAATACCCCAAGAACAATTCTTGCGACGGCTTTTTGCTGCCAAAGTGGAATCAGAAGCAACTTGTTTCATGTCAGCAGGACTATCCTTAGTCCTGGTAGAAGTCAGTGCTTGATCATAAAATTTAGGCCTTGGCCCCTTCAAAACTGTCATAGAAGTAACTTGATTCATGTCAGTATGACTAGCCTTTGTCCTGGCAGATTTCAGTGTTTCATCATGACATTTAGACCCTGGTCCCTTCAAAACTGTCCGAGAGCTATTTTGTCGTCCTTGTAAGAGTAAGGGACTGGTTGGAGATTCATTACTAGTCTCTTTCAGAGAAAGTAATTTGGCATGGTAACATTGCTTGCATGTGGTCAAGTACTCACCTCCATTTCCAGAGACTGCTGAACTCATGGAACAGCCCTCATGACAATAACCTAAAGCCCATATGGAACAAGATATTGAAACAATACAATTATGAACAGGAATAATATTAAAAGCTAAGATACAGAAAAATGAAAACCATATGCCACATCTTTTCACATACCAACAACAGATTTTGATCTTGGATTTCAAAATTTAACATCAACACAAACTGTTCTTTGCTGATGTGTGTGTGTACACGTGTGTGTAATTGAGTTAATTACATGTAAAATAATATATGACTTATTATATAAGAAACATCACGAGACTCTCACAGAGATTATCTTAGAAATTCATGACAGCATAATATAGTAAGGGAAAGGATGATGGATACCGCATACCTTGGCATGCATTGCACTTGTGAGCATTCCTGAAATCAAAGGAGATAAAGATTATGGTCATGGAAAAAACAGGTGTAAAGAGGAAAGGAGAAGAAAATAAAAATACATCAATGAAGGAGTGACCAAGTAAGAGTAATTACCGAATTAAAACACCCTTCAGACACACAGAACACGAGAGCATGACCAAGTTGTCTCTCTTGCAGGTAAGGTAAAAAAATATGTCCTTGCAGGTAGCTTTCAACTTCCTTCTGGACAACTGAGGTGCAACACTCAGGTGCTCTTCATCAGACGGTACTTTTTTATTACCTTCCTCGTATTCTTTTATCAAATATAAAGGAATGCGAGTTTCAGAAAACCAATACTTTTCCTTTCCTTCTGGACCTTGCTCTATTTCAACAACACTTTTCATCACCCGAGAAGGAAGATGCTTTTGATTCCCAAAAGCTATTCCATAACAACTTTTTCCCTCTACAAGTTTTCTGTCACAAATATTTGCATTTCTGAAAGCAGAAGCTTCAGTCTCTTGACCTTTTCCATCCTGGATGTTCTGCTCCGGACGAATCAGATCACTCCATCTGAGATAAAAATCTAGATATCTGACCTGATTCAAATAATCAAATTTCACCAAGTCAAAAGGCTTGCAAGATCAAATATACTTACAGCCAAACAAAATTAGCCAATGCAAGGAATAGAACTCATCATAGTAAAAATAGGGAACCTGAAGTGCCAGCTGCGATGCATTCCTACTCATTTGAACTGCAACTCTCCAAACCAGCTGTCTGCTTCTTTTAGGGATTTCAGAGCCATCAGCATACAATATACCAGAAATTTTCCTCCAACCACCTGTTGCCCACAATAAACAGAACATATGCTTTTATTCCGTAACAAATTAAAACCAACAGGAAAAAATTGCAAATAGTTGTCCACTGGTATACGGGGAGACAATAACATTCAACTATTCAACAGGCTTTATAGGCTCAACTTAACTCGATTTGAACCTTGATTATATCAAACAAGTCAGGCATTAAACTCAAATATATCTTGAACACCCAATATTCAGCTTGAAAGCCCACAAGTCTTCTCAACTAGATATATATACATATTGTTATGGTTTCTTAAAAATTACAATGTTAAAATAAAATTTGTAATCATTTAGTATATTAAAATAAAAAATAAAAAATCATGATTTAAATCAAACCAAGCTGAACCTTGAGCTTGGTTCTACAACCTAGATAGTTATTTCTCATTCAAGCTCAACACAGCTCAATTCCACCCCTCCTAGTATATCCCATAGTTGAAAACAAAAATACCTTGGCGAGCTGCTTTTTTTACCATGGATTTTGGCAAAACTGCTTTCTGGAATATAAATTTGGTGAATTTGCTACCACGCCACCACACAAAGTTTTCATGGCAACCATCAGCTGTAGCTTCATCAGCAGCTGACCGCTTCTTGTAACGCCTTCCACTAGGTACACGTTTCTGAGTTGTTCCAAGAGAAGGTGCAGCATTTTGTATTACGGAGAATCGAACCAACCAATCATCCACCAGCTTAATCCAGTCCCCACAAAAAGCAATCATACGAATGTTCTCCTCAAGCTGAAAATGAAAATTTATTAGACATTGGAAAATGAAGGATTTACAAAGTTGCTTGTATAGCACAAGCAAGAATGTCATGATAAGATATTCCCAATACATGCATGATAATACATCATTCTGGACAAGGAACACATTAAACACATTGTACATACCAAAACCCAAAAGCAAACTTAACTGGCAGCTTCACCAGCGTCTAAACTTTATGAAAATCACCAAGTTGACAGCACCCTTTTTGCTACCAAATGATGTCAAACTAACACATCATATCAACTGTCTAATCACTCAACCACAATAACCCTCACATGGAACCCACCTTTAATTGGATACATGAAAATTATCATAAACACAAAGTTATACAAGATCTACTCAAGCATGTAAAGTCACTTAAAGCAAAAGGCACCCTTAAATCACTAGAGGTTAGGTCCCTTTTGCCAACCCAAGATTTCATAACAAAAGGAGATAAAGAGCTGTAAAAAAAAAGAAACAGAAAAGGAGCCCTATAGTTCATCCATGGAGTTATCATTGAAATTATGTCATTCAGCATCTTTTGGCTAATCTGAATCAGCATCATCTGCTTAAATATCAGAAAGTGAGTTTTATTCTTTCGATGATAGCTTAGCTCTTGAGTCAGCCTTCTTTTTCTTGTCATGGCTTCTTGTTTCTTTACTTGCTTCACAAATACATCACCAAAAATAAATATAATCTCAAGAGGTGGGGTCAAAACAACGAGCTTCGAAAACTTGATTATTTGTCACAACTCAACCAGCAAATCATACAGATTTTTTGTGTAACTTTGTTTCTCTTGGTATCAATATAGGAACATAAGGAAGCAATATAAATAATAATTATTCTATTTATCTTAAAATGTGATGATCTTTAGGTTTTATCTTCTATATTGTTCTGGTCAAACAACACAAAACCACCTTGAAGTTCGACAAGGATCAAAAGTGAAAGGCACAAACAGCAAGCGCCTCACAGAAAGGACATTGCTTTTCTAACACCTCACGTCACCTTAGCGCTTGGGGAGCTACATGCAAGGATTATATTGCGATATTGATGGAACCCAAACAAATTCAACAGCAAAGTAACAATGAAAACACTTCTATTACTCAATAATCCATTGGAGACTAACTCCTTTTACGGACTCAACAATAACGACAGAGATCAGAGTATCAACAAACTCTATATTCATCCTACAGACTTCACAACTGGACAATGACAATTTAAAATGACAATGCAGAAAATACAACTATGACAGTAACCAAGATCTCAATTCACCCTTCAAGACCAACATACTAGGCTCCAAAGAGATCCCAAGAGATCCTTCCCCAAGTCCCACTCCAAGTTCACTCAATACATGTTTTCCACTCTCCACACCTCCCTTCTTTTTATCCTACTCAGATTATTTTAGAATAACTAACTAATTGCCCCACTCGCTTTAAGGCCCATCAATACTCCCCCTGCAAAATTCACCTTGTCCTCAAGGTGAAGGAAGAGACTAGGAGTCCACCTGGATCCCATTACTTAAAGCATATAGACCAAGTTACACACGTGTATCATGTTTAGTTGATCCACTGATTCTGGCCCATGTGGCTTGTTTTTTTCCTGGGCCCATGACTATTTTCAACACTAACTCAGATTTAATCACTTTTAAGTTTTGGGCCTTGGTTCAACAAGCTTGCTTAAGTTATTTTATAGGATGGACAAAGCCCATTTTTTTTCTTCTAACTCATAATTATTTTGGGCTTGGCCCATTAGGTCAAAAAATTGACCCAATTTCTGAAATACCATCTTTGCCCTTCTTCTCTCTTTCTCCTTCTGTTTGACGTCTTTTTCACAATGCAGGTATGTTCTTCTTTCTTTTCCTTCTTGTATTTTTTCAGCTTCTTCCACTACGTCTTCTTCTTCCTCTCCTCCTTCTTCTGTTTCTTTGGGTTGTCCATGGTCAAGCACGTCCCGCCAGCAACACGTCTTTGTTAGTGATCTTCTCCAATGAGCAACAAAGCCGATGGCCTGAGCTCCTTGTGCCGCCACCTTTGCCACCGTTCGTGGTCGTTGCCACTGTTCGCGCGCAGTCTCTCTACCGATTCTAAATCTGTTCGCGCATCGTCTCCCTGTTCCAGATCTAACTCCGTGTTCTTCTTCTTCATCTTCTGTTTTTCCTTCTAATGCTTCAGCCTTTTCTTCATCTTCCACTGTTTCTGCTTCCGCTGCGTCTTCCTTTTCTTTGTCTTCTTCTTTCTCTGGATCTTCAGTATTGTTTTTGTTTTCTTCAGCTTTCTTTGGTTGTTCGTCATCTTCTATTTCTTCTTCCTTTGATTTTTCTTCATATTTTCTTTTTCGATTTCTTCACTTTTGATTTCTTCTACGCTTCCTTTTTCTTTTTTCTTCTGTTTTCTTTTTTTTTCATTTTTGATTTTTGCCTCTTTTTCTTCACCTTCTTTTTCTTTTTTCTCCTTTTTCTCTGGTTGTTCTCCTACATTTTATTATTTTTTTTTTTCCTTTCTGCAACATCATCGCCATCACCATCAATTGCTGGATCTGATTTTTGAGGTGTTATTCCCTCCTTATCTCCTAGAGTGGAATTTTGTTTATCTTTCTCTGCTAGTTCCGGATGCTCCGATTCTTCCTCTTCGTCTACCAAACAAATCTCAGGTAGATATTTACTTATAAATGTTTTGGTAAAATCCCAAAAAATTGCATTAGGATTGTGACAATTCCAACGCCTATACCAATAGAGCACACATCCTCGAAGCCCACTCAGAGTTTCTGCTAATTGTTCATCTTCATTTATTCTGTTTTCTTGAAAATATTGTTCCACAACAATTAACCATCCCCAAGCATCGCCTCCCTCTCCATAAAATTTTGGAACCATTGTATCAGTACTATTCAAAGCTACCCGGATCAGATAGCTCTAATACCAATTGATGGAACCCAAACAAATTCAACAGCAAAGTAACAATAAAAACACTTCTATTACTCAATAATCCATTGGAAAATAACTCCTTTTACAGACTCAACAATAACGAGAGAGAACATAGAATCAACAGACTCTATATTCATCCTCCAGGCTTCACAACTGGGACAATGACAATACAGAAAATACAACTATGACAGTAACCAAGATCTCAACTCACCCTTCAAGACCAACATACCTAGGCCCCAAAGAGATCCTTCCCCAAGTCTCACTCTAAATTCACTCAATACATGCTTCCCACTCTCCACACCTCCCTTTTTTTATTCTACTCACGGAATATTCTAGAATAACTAACTAACAGGCCCACTCACATTAAGGCCCATCAAATATGAACCTAAGGAGAGCCCAGAGTCCATATAAACCCCGCACCAAAACCTTATGTTTTCGATGTGAGACTCCAAATCCTATACCTTGCAACTAGATTGTAACATCTCACCACACTCCACAGCCCTAGAGCCCATGCAGACGGGCTTTGCGCTATTGCAATGCCAATGCCAGCATCACCAGCCGCGCCACTCGATTGCAATTGGGAGACATAGTGGAAGCTCTGATACCAAATGATACAAACCTTGAAAGAACCTCACCTCAAAAGCTAGCTTGTAAGGTAGAAGAGCTCAAAGTCCATATAAACCCCACACCAAAACCCTGTGTTTCCGATGTGGGACACCAAGTTCTATACCTTGCAACTGGATCGTAACATATTGCAAGTAGCATATTTTGCATTGGAAACTTAAAAAAGTTGAGATAACAAATGCATATCAGACTAAATGCCAACATATGCCTTCATCAACAAAAAAATAAACAATTTGCAAAAACTAAAATATAACATCAAATAAAATTAAATACTTTAAGTCACTCACTTTAAGTAAAAGTGGCTTGATTGCACTAAATGTTGTGGCTTGTTCCACTCGGTTACGCCATTGCTTTTTGTAGCTTGCAGTTAGGAAGGGCCCAACTATTAAGCCACGTAGACATTCCTCCATGTATATAATGTAAGTTGCAATGCTAGGAAGAATTCCCTCTCCACTCCTTATAGGAGAAAAACCAGCAAAGATTTTCATAGCACTTTTTGTGACACTTAGAGCAGCATGATTTAACATGCATCCTCTCTTACTCGAAACAGGAGCTTTACAAGAAAAGCACCAGCCACACCTCTCTCTTGGAACCTCCACAAGCTTCTTTTCAGAACTTGGCCAAAAGAAGCGTGAAGCAGTTAGTGAGAACGCTTTTGCTTGCAAATAAGTGTTTCCAGATGCAGTTTTCTTCTGATTGTCGGAAATATGGCCCTCCGACCTGGATTCCTCTGAAGAAAGAACGGCAAATTTAGCAGCTGCAGATGCAGCAAAATCACCATGCATGTAGTAATTAATGTATGACTGAGGTTTATAAGAGAAACCCATGTATCCAAAATCATTGGTTACATTGCCTTCAGATTTTCCAAAACCAGCTTGAGTACTTTCTTTGGTTTGCAACGAAAAACTCATAGGCAACCCCATATCATTTGCATGGCCATAATAATTAGTTCGGCTGTTTACCAAAGCACACTTAGCAGGATCTACTGTAGTTGGCCTATTAAGAGAACTTCGATAGCTCACATCAGACTGGTAACTAACAGAAACAGAACCAGCAGAGATGACTGACTCCATCCTAGTTTCCTCAGGAATCTTCGTATCCACAGTAGGATGCTCTTTACTGCAAGCACTGACACTACTTTCAGGAGCAGGACTTTGGGTGGTAACTGATGAAGCATAGAGAGATGGCACCATATTATCAGTATGAATCAAACTCACAGTAGTTAGAGGGTACTCTCCCTTCCCCAAACTAACAGGTTTATGGTTGTCTTCACCCAAAGGAGGAAGTAATGAAGTAGAGAACTTTGTCTCTTCTTTTATACTTGCTGAGTTTACAATTGTTCCAGTTGAAACAGAAAGAGGCAAGAAATTTTCTGGAACATTCCAATATCGTAAGACTGCCATGCAAATACCATAGTATATTGGTCTATGCTGCATAGAATCACAAAGCACTTGGAGAACTTTAGGAATGTCATTCTGATTGTAATATTTAAGATGAAATTCATCATTGTCAATATTGAGCCTGCAATGATCCATGTTGAAAGATCATAAAGATAAAACTTTAGAAATTGATGTGCATCTATGGTGAGAATGATAGCAAGAAAAAAAAAATTAAAGAACAAATTCAAGTCTAAGGCAAGAACACAGAACTGAACTTTAAATTTCATTAACTTCAAATATAGCACAAGTACTGATCTAGCATAACAAATGAAAGGGTAAAAGTAATACTAAAAAGATGTTGAACATACACAAGTAAGTGGTCACAAGTACCAATGAAGAGTTGCCCATACAAATCCATTCCAAATATTTCAGCCCCTTTAAGTGCTGTTCCCTTTGCAATTGTTGGCCCGGTCATATTAATTTTGCACTCTGGACAATACCATGGCCCTTCTGGTATAAACATTTTCATCACACCAATACACCTTGAATGATAAGCAGAAGGACACCCATCACAACAAAGCAGGGTCCCATCCATACCGCAGAGGCGACATTCATCTCCATTTCTATCAACATCACCATCCTCGGTACTTTTAGTGTCTCTGAAATATGAAAGAGAGTTACCAGGTTGGCTCACAGCATTTGATGCTGGAACAAACTGCATAGCTTCTTTATCGTTGCAGGCAGAAGTCTTGGCATATCTTGGATGGACTCTTCTAGTCCCCATTTCTGCAGGAAGTATATCCTCGGCATCATAATCCATCCCAACCTCTGATTCTTCACGCATGTTCATTTCAGCTTTTAGCTCATCAGATTCCAAAACATCATCACAGAGAATTTGCAATATCACTAACTTCCTACTTACAGGCAATAAATAATACTCGCCACTAATAATCTCGTCATAAAATCCTTTCCATTCAGGTCCTTTTGTGTATCCACTAACTAATAAATACTGAATCACAAAAACAGGCCAAGTCAATGTATCGAGCAAGCTCCAATCATTGCACCTGTAGATACATCAAATTTAATATCTTAAAAAAATTCTTACAAAAAGAATAACAGCATAAAGCATAAAATATTACTTACTTGTATAGACAATCCTACAGAGGTATACTAGATGAACAAAATTTCACCAAACTAAAAAAGTAGGAATAAATATAAGCACCTAAGGCAGTGTGATGCAAGCTCCGAGCCCTCAGATGAAAGGGTTTCAAGACGATGCCTCAATGCCCGCATTAGGGAAACATGAACGGCGTCAAACAATGTGTTTGAAACTCGGCAATTAAGAGAACCAACAAACTCATCCAAAGTAAACGGTAGTAGAAACAAGCGAGTGCTGAATGATCTTAAGAATCCATAAACAGAAAAGAGGTGTGAGACATATGGCTCGGGCACGCCAATAGTTCCCGAAGACGGCGGCAACTGCAATGGCGGCGGCACAGGCGGTGTCTCGGAATCAGACTCACTATCCCTTGACGAATCAACATCAGCTTCGTCATCATCTTCCTCATTGTTTTCAATCGATAACCCATCGTTCAATTCACTCGAAGCAGGCACATCAACCGCGGATACCTCTTTGTTCGAGTCAACAGAACCCTTCTCCGACATATCTGCGACCTTTTCACTCTTCTGCAACATTAATTCCTCTAATTTTCCCCTCCTCCGAGCTAAATCATCATCGAAATCACCATCATTGAGAAGTATCGGACGAACCTCACCGCTATCTAAATCCTCGTAATCACCATCCTCGTAATTGACTCTATACAACCCACTCTCGTAATACGCAACTTTCCCGAGAAAAACTCCATTTCTAGGAAACTCTTTCAGCACGTATCGTCCAACCAATGCTATCGGTCTTGTCCCCACAGCTAGCCCTTTCGCATCAGGAACCGTTTTTCCTTCATCTTCATCCTCTTTTCTTCTCCGTTTCCTCGGGCGACCTCTCGATCTGACAACTGGCGGTTCCATCTTCAAATCAGAACGAGAATCGGAACCCTACGATCCTCGAGGAAGAGAGAGAGCGCCTTTGATTTTTTACAAGCAAAAGGCTAGGGCTTATTCAGATCCTGAAAAAGCATAAACCGAAGTGGAAATGGAAAATGAGGAGTGGATGGAAATTCGAGAAATGAAAAAACGATTTTGGAAGATTTGAGACAGAGGATAAGAGAGTGTTCGTGGTTAGGGTTCAAATAGCAGCAACATTGAAGAGGAAGATTACGCTGCTTCTGAGATAAGAAGAAGGCTCTAGAAGATCAATACGAAAAAGAAGAAGAAAAATGAAAAAGATAACCCTAATGGAACAAAATGTAGAGAGAACAATGGTTTGTTCTAGAGACTCAGTAACCGAGTTATATTATTCCTATTATGACGAGTTTTGTTGTGGGTGGACTCGTTCCGTCCGAGTTGCCAACGCCATCAGATCCAAGTTCAAACCCCTTACACTGCATGGAGGTAAAATAGTACTAGTAATGTGATGCATTGTGATAATATTGTTATTAGGTTAAATCAAGTATAACAAAATATCAATAAGATTTGTGATAAAACATATTATTCTATCTATTTCTTTTTCATTTTATTTTTATTTATTATTTTTCAACATTATTAAATTAAAATCTCAACTACCTTTATTATTACAATATTAATGTGTAAAAACAGCAATGGGTAAGTTTTTTCTTCATCAATACAATATAAAAGGGTGGTTTTTTTTAATTATTGTTTATCAAAAAAAAATTAAAATATATCATTCAATACAAAAATATTAGTTATTGTTCTCTTATTATAATTTTGGAATATTATCAATCTAAAGTAAATTGGTTTCCTGATTGATCACACGATAATTAAGTTTAAGGGAAAGGTGTTTATCCTTTTAAATGACACAATTTATATCATTTCACTCTCACAAAGAGGTGGGATCCATATCTTTATTTTTTTTGTCAACTCTCTCCTTCTTTATCTATCTATTTCTCTCTCTTAAAATGACACAACTTTACATCCTTTAAAATGACACACACTTTTTCCTAAGTTTAAATACCAAATTGCTATTAGGAAGCATTAAAATTAAAATTTTAACATAATCATTGATTTAAGTTGGCAGTGAAATTGTTTGCCTAAACTTATTACTATCCAGTGCATTTTTTGTGCATTTCATTAGTATTAAAAAAGTTTAAAAATATAAATTAAAATAAAAAGTATAAAAAGAAAAAAATTAAATTATGAAATATGTATAAATAAAAAATTAAGAATAATATACAAATTTAAATTAAAATAAAAAATAAAAAAAATATATAGCATTCTTAAAGAAATAATAAATAAGACTATCTACCAAAAAAAAGGACTAAGTCGGTGTCAAGATGTTGTATTCTGATTGGAGGGGACGGATATGCTTACTACCAAAAAAGTTTACCGCTCTTACAACTAACTTAATTACCATTGATTTCCGTTAATCTAATGGTTATAATTTATTGAGAATTAAAATTAATTAATAAGTGCGACCCAATAAATATTATTAATTTCCAATAAATTATAATCGTTAAATTGATGAAAATCAATGGTGATTAAGTTGGTTGTAAAAGTGGTAAAAAAAAAATTGTGGTAAGTGGATCCATTCCCCTAATTCAATATGTATAAAAGTAAATTTTAATGTAAAAAATAAATTGATTTGGGAATTGAGAGATTGAGATTTAAGAAGAAAAAATTAGGTCAAATTTTGTTAGAGTAAATTTTCTCACGTGTTATTTAACATAATTATATCATATGAAAGAATCATAATCATATAAAGATAAATTTATAGTAACAAGAAAAAAGAGAAAAAAAATATTGTGATGGACAATTACAAAATCATCAGCATTATCTAACTTTTGTATGGTTAGGATTCCCTATATAACATGAACACGTTAAATAAAACATGAGAGAATTTATTTTTAATTTTTGTAATAATATTTATTTTAAAAGTATAAGTTACTGAGAATTAAAAAAGGAAAAAGGAATTTCAATGTAAAAAGAAAATTTTAAAATAATAAAAATTTAAATTTAAAAAATAATAATACTTAACAGTAAAATTAGGTTCTTAATTAGCAAAAAAAATACAATAAAAGGTTATCTCACTCTCAATAGAGTGTTAATTTTATTTTATTATATAGAAATTGATTATATATTAACAAAAATCTAAGCAATAGTGAGGGTAATTTTTATTTTCACCTACTAATGCCTATTTTCCTTGTTTTATATGTTTTTTTTCCTAAGGCTCGGTGATAATACTGTTAACAATTTTTTGAATGAAAAACTGAACGATGAGTTGACCCGGAAAGAAGAGTGAGTCAACTCGGCAGCACAATGGCCCTGCACCTAGTGAAAGTGAGCTTGTTGCATTTTCTTTTGCTCACGTCTTTAAAAACGGTAAATCATAAGAAAATTATTGGCGGGAATAATTCTCCGCTCAATCAGATTTTCCCGCTAAATTTTTAATCAAATGATTTTATTTTAGTCACCGCAACCATTTGTATGTTTGTGTCGCTTGTTCATGCCTTAAACTGTGATTTTATTCCATCGTTACTTATTATAGGCTAGAAAATATGTGTAAAGTATCATGTAGCAATAGATAAATCATTGTTATTTTGTAAATATATAAATGATGAGCCCTAATATGCCTACTAAGTAAAATTTCATATATGTGATATTGGTAGTTGTTAAAACAATTGAAAATGTGATGATTATATCCCACATATATCCTTGAGAATTATATATGACCGTGCAAATGTCTTTGGTTACTTGAGTTTGTTTGAATATTTGATATAAGATTCAGCACTATTGGTGTAATGTATTTTGTAAAAAAATAAATAAATCAATAAATAAATCTTGCTGAAAAAATTTAGTTTAAATAAATTTGAAGATTTTTGTTTAAATATATGCTAGGGTATAATTACTATTGAGTATAGAACTATTAAAACAGAGGTAAAATTACAATTTATGTATAAATGTAATTTTCGTATGAAAGTTAATATCTATGTAATTTTGTGAAGAAAAGATTTTGCAACTATATTATCAGAGGCCAAGGTCATTCACACAAAACTTTCACAAATTCAGTTGCATTCGTAAAACATTAAGCAAGTGGGTTATGAGTGCGAACGAACTTGGACAATTATATGTGATAAGTATGGCACGTATTGAAGTGATAGTAACAATCTGAACACTCATTTATTTCTGGACGTGGTTCTTGATCCTTTTTATGAATCTGTGTAGCGATTTGCTTTATAAGGTGAATGGTAAACATAGTGATGCTCCTACTACTTTTTGTTTTGATATGGATAAGTCGAAGAAAAAAAAATATTTATCTTTTTAAATGACACAACCTGTATCATTTCACTAAACCTGTCAAAACGGGCCAAAGTCCAAGGGCCAGCCCTTCACTCTCATTTTCCAGCCCCATTTTTTTTCAACTCACATTTAGTAGGGTTATTTTTTACCCTAACCCCAATAACTCTTATCTCTTTTGGGTTAACCCACTAACCCTATGGGCCAGCCCGATGTTTTTTTCTCTAAACTCTAAATATCTAATTTCTTTTTCTAGTCGCGATTTTCTTCTTCGTTTAATCGTTATTGATGGGTTTGAACTCAATTTAGGTTTGTCTTCATTCTTAATTTCGTTTTCAAATAATCTTTTTGGCTATGTCTGAAGATCGAGATCTGGGGTTTTTTTTTTGTTCACTTGCGATTTGATTTTTTTGATTCTGTTGCAAATTGATTTCATCGTAATCTGTAGGGGTGTTCGCGGTCTGGACTGGATAGGTTTTGAAAGCAAAAATCATTTGATCCAATCTCTTCGGTTTGATCATGTCATCATCCATTCGGTTTGGATTTTTTTTCAAATCCGATCTGATCCAATCCAATTTTTTTCGGTTTGGATTGGATCGGTTTTCGGTTTTTTAAAAATTTTACAAATTGTTTTATGGTTATTGTGCAAATAACACTTTTTTGTATAATAGGCTTTGTAAAAAAAAAATTAAACAGAAAAGTAAATGATAATATAGCTTTTTTTTTTTTTTGCAATGAGATATGAAGCTCTACACAAATAAATTTTTGTTGATGAGATGTAACTAGGTTTTTTCTTGGATTTAGTTGATGGGTTAATAGGTCTTGGGTTTAAAAAATTTTGGGATATGATGGGAGGAAAGACCAAAGTAGGTAGAGGGGAATTAATATATTGGATCGGTTTGGATTGGATCGGTTTTCATCAACCCATCCGAAAACCGATCCAATCCAATTAAAATTTGCGGTTTTTATTCGGTTCTCGGTTTTTCAGTTTTCAGTTTATTCGGTTATCGATTTTTCGGTTAAGTTACCGCAGTTTGAATCGGTTGATGAACAACTCTAATAATCTGATAGTATGTGTTCTCTCTAAGATGTGCGTTCTCTCTCTCTCAGTCTCTGTTGTAAATAATAATTATTTAGTCATTTATTTGTTGTATTGGGCCAAGCCCATTAGGTTAAAATTAGGTCAAATATTCTCTATAAATAGAGAACCCTTTGTACAGATTATTTACAATTCTATAATATATTAGAATACCCTTTTTCAAGTTGGTATCAGAGCTCTCGATCTGAGGGCTTTGCTTCCGCACATATTATCTTCTTTTTTAACAAAACCCTAATTTCTTTGCCTCTTGCCGCCATCAGCCGCCACCGGAAAATTTTTCCGGGGACCTTTTGGACCAAGGGGACCATTGTTGACCTTAATTTTTCTCCGATCTATCATTCTACGCACTGTTCCTCCACCACAAACGACCGAAACACCTCCGACCGCCTCCAATCAGATCTGTCTTCACCGTTTGGACCACTTTCCGGCGACTTTTCAACCGCGACCACCCACAGACAGGTGCGCACTCACCGGACGACCACACCATAAAAATCTCAGCCGGCGAAGCCCATCCACGCGCTCTCACGCGCCGCCCCTTTCCCGGCGAGTGAATCCCACGCGCAGCTCCTTTCTCGGGTGCGTGGAGGCGCATGCGGCCGTGTTTTTGGACCGGACCACCACCATTCTTCTCGTCTTCTTGTCTTCTGTCTGGATCTGTAATTATTTTTCTGATCAGAGGTCATTTGATATTCTGTTTGGTTGATTTTATCGCTGGTTGTTAACTTTTTTTGTTAAAGAATGGCCGAGCATGATAGTTCTTCGATCTTATCTGGTAAGAGCACATGTTCTATATCTCTTCTTGCTTCTTGCATTGATTTTAAAACCTCATGGATTTTGGATTCTGGTGCAACTGATCATATAGCTTGTCGTACTGA